TTGCATAACAGGGTATATAGAAAACATTTTACCAGAAGAATTCCACTAGAAACTGACCAAAACAAATCCTATTCAAAACAGTGCATTAAATTAATCTAGTCAAACAGTTTGCTTTCAATTGTTCATTGATTACCACCTAGCCTGCATTACCTATAACAATGATTCATCATATAGATTTATCGATCATTTATGTGAAAATTACTCACTGCAGTTATAATCAAATGTTGCTAAGATTTTTTTCTTCTTAGGCAACATGATATAACCAAAGATGTTTCCTTAATCTAGTACAAACTTGTAAGATTTAGATGGCAAGTTTCATCAAGACACTGCAGTGGAATATGCATTAGTCTTTCCTTCTATTCTCTTTGTTTTTAAAGTACATCCAATCTAGATCTTTCAAATTTCACCACATGCTTCTAATCGCCAGCACCTTTCTGGAAAGCCCAATTAAGTTTGTCTTATAACTCAGTAACCATACATTACGAACTCTTGCATTTAATCAGCCCCATATTCTAGAGTACTAAAGATAGGACATCTTGGTTGGCTTGGCCCTGACCATCCTGTGTCCAAAAGAAACACATTTGTTTCATCCTATACATTGGGAGTTCTGTGAGAAGCTGTGGTTTTGCCAGGGATGCTCTTGCACTCTGGTGATTTCTACACCATTGTCATACCTTGTTCCACTTTAATGAAGTTCTCTTCATTAATTTCACCTGTGGGCATAGTAGTATCAGCCAAACATGTAAAACAGATTATTGTGCTTCTCTCTCTTCTCTCTTCTACCCTATTGTGTGTGGTGTTCTTGGGTGTCGATGTTCCAACTTGAAGCATATCACGAATGGTTGGTTCCTTTCAAGATTCCAGCCTTATCTACAGAAGAGTTAGGCAGTCAAAATTGATGATCGAAATTTTTTGTGCGACCTGTTTTCACATGAACCTATGCCCCTGATGTGTTTCCTTTATTTGGCTTGTCGACAAACTCCCACAGCAACCAAGTACTCGCAAGAAAACAAGACAATAAATTATGAACAATAATACCAAATCTTTCTCAAATCGGCACTGTTCCAAACTTTTCTTACCTAACAAACAGTTAAAACAGACAGCTTTCCTAAACCAACAACTTCTTGCAGATGAATGTCAAGAAATGCCGGAACACAACCATCTTTAGGGCGTGTTAATCTGCATTGCTTTTAGATAAGAGAGAAAGCAACCAAAATTCGGAGAGATCACCGAAGGAAAGACCACAGACTTGGACTCCTAGAAGAAACCCAAGAGACGGGATAAGAAGGGGGAAGAAAAGTTTCACGCATTAGTCTTTGCCCGCAAATCAACACCACGAGAGCGAATACCAAATGTCAAATCGAAGAGAAACGAGGAGAGCACGAAGCGCGCGCGGAATCAAGAAACCGGTACCAAGAAACCCCGCCTCACCGACCTACCATCGCACGCCGCTTTCTTGATCCGCGTCACCCTCCGCCCGAATCCAAGAATCTCCACGGGATCCTAAACCGGACTCGAGATCGGAACCCACATTCCCCTTCCGACGGCCCAAACCCACGCGAGATCGAAGCGTCTCCTCCCTCCCGACGACCCAACGAGCCAGCAACACAGAGTTCTCCCGAAAAGGAAGCCCGAACACAGCCGGAGCGGCAAATTCCGGCGAGAAAGGGTGGTATTCCGTCGACGGAGCGACGATTTCCGGCGGCTGAGAGAGATCAGAGGAGACGAAGAGAGAGAGAGAGAGAGAGAGAGAGGGGAGGGGGTGGGGAGGAGATGAGCAGTAGGAAGAGGACGAACGTCGTAGCTAATAATCAAACCAAAATTTGTAATTACCTTTTCTGCCCTTCGCATTCTGTACAATCACAACAGTTGTGTGCTACGGATAGGGAAGTCAATTAAGCTCAACGGTGAGGGTGTTCTCGTCACTAAAAGGCGATGAAGCGAGATGGACGGCCAGGATCGAAGTGGAGGCGGTAGTTGGGTCTACTAATTGCGGCTTTCCGGTCAGCGACGGCTCTCCGCTTTATCTTTTGTATGTACCGCTGGTGTGATTCCTTCACACCGTGTGGCGTTCACATTTGGAATTTTCCCACATCAATAAAAAAACCCTAAAAAAAGAAGAAAAAGAAAAAGAAAAAGAGAAAATTAATTAATTTTAAAAATATATACTGATGATTTGATGGGAAAAAAAGAATTTTTTCCATTTAATGTGACATTTTTTAATAATATGAAAAAATCGAAAATAAAAGTACATCTTTACTATCAAATCAGAAAGTCAACGCGGTGGTTTGACTTTCAGGTCGGCTCTTCGTGTCAGAGAGTCGGCATGCCAACGAGCTACCACTGCGTTTGCGTCGGTCAGCGTGACCGAGTCAACAGAAGACATGTAGCCGCCGTTCATCTTCGGCCGACGCCTGCCTTGGCCTTTAGCTCCGGTTTTGACTGAGTTGGCTCGAACTCATTGGTCCTCGCCATGACTGTGCCTAAAAGTCAATTTCTCATGTGGTCAAAACAAACATGTTGAATTCTGATCCAACGTGGCTTTCATATTATTGACTCGGTCAAATATGTATTAAATATGTATCTAATTATAATTTTATTTTATTATCATCTTTATTTTTTTTATCTTAGATATTTTATTTTTCTTTTATAAGTTTATGTACCGATGTATCGACACATAAATAATATTTATTTATACCTTGCTTTAGGGTTAGGTTTTGAAGGTAAGTGAAAAAGGAAGAACAAGTGAGAATGGGGTCCACACAAAAATTTATGTGAAGGAAAAAAAAATGTGGAAGATTTTTTTGATCTGTGGAAGATTCCTTTGTTCACTTTGGTGTCTTTCTCCTTTGGGAGTGTTGGTTGGATGGGAAGTGAGCTTCAACAATCTCCACATCTCCAATGAACATATTTCCATGGTAAAAAAATGTGGGAATGCAAAGCAATCATTGGGTTGCTTGAATTCTTCTTATATGCCTCATTTGTCCTCACTTCTTCTCTCATTAGCATCTCACATGAAACCTTTAAATTTGTTTCTCTACACTTAAATAAACAACAAAAAATAAATAATAACCTATTTTTAATGTTTATCCTTTTTCTTGGGAACAAATATTTTTTTTGATATGCATAAGTATATTAAAATATTTATTCGCGGATGATGTATCAAACCTGTTTTTTAATCCATTTATTAAGGAAATTTCATCTTGTAGATTTTGATGGTAACTCTTAGTCTTATTTGAAATGGGTGGTGAAGAGGGGAGGATGATGTTATTGCTATTATCCTTAAAAAAAAAGAAAAGAAAAGATCATTTCAGCAGGAGTACCAAATGCCAATTGATGTTTAATGCTTTTAAAGAAGTAGACAATTACACATTGATGGGTATTGATAATTTCATAAGGTTAGGAAGCCATTGCTTTTTGATATCATTAACCACAGGAGCTGTTTTAGGGTATTAGGTGAGCTTTCAAACTAGTTGGTTGATGAGCTTGAAGGGCTTAGAGGCATGATTGCTATTAGATAGCTTGATGATGAATAATCCAATGTCATTTATTGTTTAAGTAGAATAGGATGTGTAGTCTAAATTCTTAAACCTCCAATAGACCAAAATTAATTTGTTCATTAGGAAAGTCTATTTCTTTCGAGCTATCGATACGATAATTATAATTAATTATACACCGTGACGCTGAGATAATTAGGCGATTCAGATAATTAACAAGATCCAAATTTGGTTTCTCCAAAGCTATAAACTATTTTTCTATGACATTATAAACATAACCAAAAAAGATAAAACATGAGAGAGAGAGAGAGAGAGAGAGAGCTTTTTTGCTAAAAGAATTGTTGTTTACAACAATAAGACCATCACCATGAAGATTTTTTTTTTTCTTTAACAGAAGTTGCATGAAAGATGATACAAGAAATGTGGCCAAGCTCACAACATAAGATTGAAATCTACTTCCATATCTCACACTGCATCTATCAAACATCAATAGCTTCTGCAATAGCAAACCAAGGAAAGAAGAAAAAAGAGGCATTGTTGTAGCAGTCCCTCAGGAACTGCAGGCAAATAGCAAGGCAGCAAATGGTAATATGAGATGTCAGACATCATGCTGCTTTCTTGGTTTCTTCATGGAGCTCATCCTGCACCAGTCACCATTTTGATCAACTTGACATAACTAATGTCAATTTACTTTGGGCTCTATGCAGAGCACAGCAATGGTGATGACTGCTGTGACATGTCTGATATGGATAGTGACACCTTATGCAGCATAGTTGAGACAATGGATTCACCATGATCAAGCTTAGCTTTCAATTCTCAAAGCAGTAGGGCTTTCAATTGATAGATAAATGTACTGAGGACAATCAACAGTAACAGACTCATTAAAGCTCTCTCCTGTGACCATGGCAGTGTAGAAAAGGACAGGGTTGGGAAGTACTTCTCACTAGGCAGGGCTTCATTTCATGAATTCTTTATTGTTGGGAGTTGACATGACTTGGATTTAGTTGGACTCTGGCACTTGGATTCATTCTGCTGCAGTGAAGCTTTACCTTCTTTTTATAGAGAGAGAGAGAGAGAGAAGGGGGTTTTACTCTTTCTTGGATTCTGTCTCAAGCTTACTGATCTGATATAGTTTTAGTTCTTCTAGGAAAAAGAAGGGTGCTGCAGAATCTTTGGAACATCCCAGCAAACAGAGAGAAGGGTTGAAGTGGTCAATGCCAGGGCTAAAAAAGAGCCAAAAGAAACTCATCACATTGACCAGCTCACAGCTACAAGCCTCCAAAAGCCTGCAGTTTGAAGATTCCTCAAATCTGTGTGTGGATGCTGCAGATCAGATCAGTAAATGAACCATTCAAATGTTAGCCTATTACTTTTCTCGACTCGAAGTCATATTCATGGCAGATATTAAATCTGTGGATTGCAGGCAATCAAAACGTATCAGATGGTGGACTTCAAGAACAAGTGGAGTATTGTGAGGAACATCAAGCACCATGAACAGCAAAATGAGAAAAGAAAGCCATTACCATGAAGCATTGTGAGGGAACAATTACATGGGAGTTCATTGGATGTAAAAGATGCACCATGTGTGCTTTCTCTATTAGTATTGGGAGGCGAATCTAAAGTGCAATTCTCATCAAACAGAATTACAATGTTATGGTGGTGACAGGATTTCAGATAAGTCTAGCAAAATAAATGTGAGCATCAGAAAAATCCAAACCATGTGGAAGCCTCAAAGCACAATACAATATGACAGCAGAATGTGATATACCTTTAATGGAGCACCAAAGTTACTTATGGCTTTTGTGGCTGCCCTTCTTCTTCATCAGGTTCGCAAACTTGTGCAGCAAAGCTTTCTTCTTCTTTTGCTGCTGGTTCTTGGTGGGTGAGGTTGATCCCAAGTCCATGCTCTCTGTCATACCATTTATGTCTTCATAGCTACCACCATCCATCTTAGATTCTGAATCATCATCTAGTGATTCTGCCTCATGGTCCTTTTCTGATGCTAAATCCTTGGTCATTTTATCTACATGATCTTCCTCTTCATCAATTTGGCTTCCTTTCTCATTCTCCTCTGTTTTTTGGTCATCCTCGTAACCATTTTCATGCATCCATGAAGGTGCTTCTGGATTTGATCTTTCTATTGCACTCTCATGAGCATTCATTTCCTGAGAAATGTTCGGCGGTAGGTCGTATTCCTCTCCACACTTTGACAACTTAATTGATTCTTCAGTTCTCTTGGCTGTGGCCTCCTCAGGCAATGAGGATAACTCTTTAATTTTCTGTAGGGCAGATGCTTCTCTGATTCGGAGTTCATCATTTTCTTGAGTGATACTCTGCAGCTCGTTCTCTTTGTCCAACAATCTTTCCTTCAATCGCAAAGTCTCAGCCTTTGCTTCTTCTGCCACTTCATAAGCTGCAGTTGCCACTGATTCTGCTTCTCTCACTTTGCTTAACATCTCAACTCCATCCGCCTTGGCTGCCTGTGCTTCTTGCTCTGCTGCTTTGAGTGAGTCAACAGCCTCTGCCATTTCGGCCTTGAGGGAAGCAAGTTCAAATTCCGATTTTTTGATAGAATGAATGAAATTAAGCTCCTTTGTTTGCCACTCAGTGCTTGAATTGCCGGTTTCAGTTTCAAATCTTTCGACAGTTTTCTTGAGGCAAACGATCTCATATCTTGCTTCATCAAGCATGACCTCGTACCTATCTTCAGTGTTCTTGAGTTCTGAATTCAGCTGCTCTATCTCCCCCTGAGCATCTTCAATTTGAGCTTGCTTTGCTAAAAGCCTTTCTTGATTTTCTCTGGATTCAGTGGACATCTCATGCAATGCCGAAGCTAAACCTTCCATTGCCTTTTTAACCTCTTCTCCTTCAACTTTACTGATCTTGAGCTCATCAATGAGTTTGCTTCTCTCCTCCAACAGTCTCTCAATGTCTGAAGCAGCAGCCTTGCCATTGTCAAGTGCCTGCAGTTTCTCTTCCTCCAGTTTCCTAAGTTCAATTTTTAATAGATCGGCTGTCTTTCCCAAGCTTGCTATCTCTTGCTGTGATAAATCAAGATTCCTCTCTGATTCCTCGACATCATTTTTGCACCTGGCCACCTTAATCTCCATGGATTCTATCTTCCCATTAAGAACAGCAATCTCGGTTTCAGCATCTTGCAGTAAAGCAGTGCCCTCTTCCATTTTTTTCATTGTGATCGCAAGAGATTCAATTGCAGTTTTCTCTGATTTATTGGCTTCCTTCAGCCTAGTTTCTAGTGATGCCACCACCTTTTTCAATTCATCAACTTGCTTACGTGCATCTGTTTCAGCCTTCTTTACATCAGTAACCTCCATTCGGAGCTGTCCAACCAATGCTTCTATCTTCGGTAACTTCTCTTCAGCTGACTTTGCTCTTTCAAGTTCAAATTCCAAAGCATTAATTTCCACATTCAACTTCTTAATCATCTCTGCTGCTGCTTTGTTCATATTATCCAGCTTGGAATCGAGCAGGGATTTTAAATGGCTCACTTCTCTGGACAAGACCTCCACCTTCTCTCCATTCATTTCAGCAACTTTCTTTGCACCATCCGCTTCACCCAGAGCAGTGTTCCTCTCATCAGTGGCATTTGCAAGCTCAAGTTTCACCTTCTGGAGTTCCCGAGTCACAGAAAGAAGTGTTGAAGGACTCAGAGCATGCTGATTTCTAATGCTTTCGAGTTCCTTTTGATGATCCTCCTCCCTTTTTTGTGCAGCTTCGACGTTTGCTTGTTCCAGTTCATCAGCCCGAAATTTCTCAATTTCCAGGTTCTCCTCAGCCATCTTCTTAGCAGTGATTGCCTCTTGGAGCTTCTCATTGGCATCATTAGTCAATCTCTTAGCTTCTTTCAATTCGTCAATGGCCCGGATCTTCTCCTGCTCGACAAAAGCCAATTGCTCCCTTGCTTTCTTCAAGTCATCCTCAGCGACATCCAACTTCGCCTGCAGATCCGAGCCTTTTGATTTTCGTTGTAGCTTCTGCAATAAAAAAACATGATCTTGAAACGATAACAAAGGAACCCAACAAGAAACCAAACATATTATGTGATCTCCGGCATTCTTACCTCAGGAGTTGGACCGGTTTTGATTGGCGGCTTCGACTCTGCTGACTTTGGTGATCGCTCGATCGAAGAGCGTGACTTTGGCACAGGTGAGGATGGCTTTGGTGCAGGAGAAGTTGGCTTTGGCACAGGAGAAGGCGACCCAGAGTCTGACTTGGTGGATCCATTTCTGGCTATTTTGCTGATCTTGGGAGTTGCTGATGCAGTCTTTCCATTCAAGGCCTCAGATAGACCGGATCTGCTTAATGTCCGAAACATCAAAGCTTTCTTACATCCATATTATAAGACCACCAATATAAGAAAAGCAATGCAAGATATCCAGACACAAATCATTCTTAAAGGTAAACCTTTTAGAACATCTACATAAATCAGCATTCAGCAGTCCTATTGTAGACTCCAAAACTATATAAGATACATGAAAACAAAGAAGAAATCAAGCCATAAATGATTAAACAAAAACCAGGTTCTTGAACTCATGAATCATACAGTATGACAGACACAAATGAAGGCCAGATGTAGAGATGCAATGATGAACAGTACAAGAAGCATCTTGATGCTTAAACCCCTCTGGCAAAATCGAGAGCCGAGATGTACACCAACTAGATATCAGGCACAGTAAGCCAAGAACAACCGAGTCACCAAGAACCAGATTGCAGCAGGTGCAGGTATGGTTTCCATATCAAAAAATTGCATCTTTACCGCAAAATCAAGCAGCATAAAAAGAAAGCAGAAATTTTCCAACAAGAACAAACGTCTTGAGATGAAAAAAAAAAGGTACCATATTAACACCAAAACTCTGAAGCGGATTCGACCAAAACCCTAAAAGACAGAAAGGTAGCAGCTTGGAGAAGAAGAGAGGAACTCTTGGAGATATGGAGAGAGGAGGATGCTTACTTAGCTTTGGAAGGCAACATTGTCGCCCAGGGAGACGGAGGCAAAGGTGGGGAGAAAGTGCAAACAATGCGAGTACCCGGAGAGCTTTGGGAAATGAGTGGCAAGGGTTTTAAGAGGTATGCTGCAGACCACAGGGGAACAAGGGAGACAGGACAATGGAATGCAGCAGAAGAACCAGGGCAAGCAATTATTTCAGCTGGTGTTGGAATGCCTCTCTCTCTCTCTCTCTCTCTCTCTCTCTCTCTCTCATGTCTAAAAAAGGTGTGTGCTTTCTCAAACTAAGGCCAAAAAAAGGAAAAAGGAACAGGAAAACAAGGTGTGTGACTGCAGCTAGAACATAAAGATAGATTACATCTGGTAAATTCCTAGGAGCAGATGTAATGATTGATGAACATTGTGAGGATTATTCTTGCATTAGTCAAATATGAGATGGTGGTGGTTGTGACACCCCACTCATTTGTAGATGCATGTTCTTGGCTGCATGTCTGTTTTGTTTGGGGAGGGGAGCAAATGCTTGATGCTCTCAGATGGAAAGACTTGGGTTATTCTTCTTGTGCTTAAACAATGCAACATTTTTATGATTGGGTGAGGATGGAATGGAAGCTTGAACATGGAGAGAAGAGCACAGATATCAAGACATGGAGGCCAACAAGAAGATAGCCTGCACATGGAGATGGATATGGATGTGGGTTATGGCCACTGAGGCATCTCCTTCCTGTGAGCACATCCTTTTCAGCCTCTCTGGCACTGCCATGGCTCTGCAGCATCTACCAACTTGTCATCAATGAAGCCTCTTTACTCACATCAAACAGTGAGTGTGTTTGAATTCAGCTTCATCAAACAGTGCCCCACAATTCTTCTTCTCTTGCTGCAATGACAGTAAAGAGGAATCATCATTCTAGTAAAAGATTACTGAATCCATCTGAAATAAGAACCCTGACAATAATTTTCAGCAGAAATGAGGATTGACAGGCCAAGTAATCTGCTTGAGAAATTGTTGTTCATGGATAAGGAGAACCTAAATTTGTTCCTCCAAACACCCTTTTTGACCATGTCATGTGGACAAAAGAAGATGAATGTACCTAAATCTCAACATATTTAATTTTCTGCATTTTTTTTAGCTTAATGATAAATATTTGCTCAGCTAAATAACCAAAAGGGAAATTGTTTCATGCATCACATCTGCAAATCAAAAAACAAATAATACTTCTGATATTAGAAAGGAAGCTTTGGAGAAAGATCTTTCAAAGCAACTTGAAGCAAATAGGGAAACATTAAATGGCTTTTGTGATGGTGATGAGGGAATAGTAAATGCTCATTTCAGATCTTATATGAGTACAAATCTTCCTAGGGACTAAAACTATGAAACCATACATATAATTCATGTATCTTATAGCTTTACTTCCACAAGTAAAACATCTGACAGCCTCCTCAGGGAAAAGAAACAGAGAAGACTAAGTCAAGAAAAAACTATTATGTACAATAAAAGTAGAGGCCATTAGTATACCAAACAACAGTGAAATAGGATGCATGAAGCTAATAGAAGCTTTCTGTTCTTCTGTTTTTAGCTTCAATTTGTCTTCTCTATGTTAGAAAGATCAATCAAAAGTGATATATTTTCTGATCAGACTAATATCTTGAACTATATATATATATATACACACACACACACACATAAGTTTTTAGGTTTGAAAAAATATATACTTTTATCTTAAATTGATAAAAAAAATTATTTGCCCTTCATTTTTCGGTAGCTTTTTTTCTTTAATTATATATTTTTCTTATTTTATAATTATTTTATTCAACTCATTTTTTGAAAAAAAAATTGTGTGGTTAAAAAAATCGTTGGTTCAATAAAATAATAAAATTTTATGTTTAAAATTTTAAATATCAATTTAACTTTTTTATATTCTATATTTATAAATAAAACTTACAAAATAAACTAACAAAATTTTTACCAGCTAAGCTAGTTAATATTTTTATAATTTGTATATCTAATAGTATGAGTATATATATATGTATATATATACACACAATATATGCACACACACACACGTATATATATATTCTTCCTCCCAAGATTTCAGAATGGCATGTATCCATTGGTGCAAATACTATCTCATGTTTGCATCTTTACAAGACAAATTTGATTACAAGTGAAGATGATTAAGGACATGAATTTGCCAGTTTATAATCCTTATCCAATCCTTTCAGCTCTGCTGCAATATCCACCACTCATCCAACCAAGTAACCCATCCACCAGCACTGGCCAAAACTACAACACTTCATCTCCTCTATCCCTCCCAGCTTTGCTCCCACCAAGAGTAAGAACAAGCAGCAGCAGAAGAGCGGTAGAGGAAGGTGATAAGATGGCCCTCAAGCTGTGGGCTTCTTCAGCTGCCAATGCCCTCAGGATCTCCTGCAGTGGCGCCAGGACTCCTTTCCCTGCCTTCTCCATCTCAAGATGCTTCTCCTCTGGTATAAAAGAACTCTTACTGTCTCCAGCATGCAAAGTGTCATTTCCAAACTAGTCCTTCATCTATTTCAAAGGATTTGACAGGAGAGTCTATTGAGATTGCTGTGTTCTTTCAGTGTTTGGTGAGATTTTGAGGAAATTGGATGCACTTTCTTGTCTCTCAGTCCAAAGATTTATTATATGCCTAAGAAACTGTTAACTGGCTGAGCACACAACTTGTTTTGTTCATTCTGATTCAATGCTTCCTTATTCTTTCTTGGAAGAAAGAGATTGGAAACTACTATGTTGCAGTCTTCAATTCTGCTACCTTTCTTTTCTGCTTGCAGTGATAGATGGCTTGAAGTACACCAGTTCTCATGAGTGGGTGAAGCATGAGGGTTCTGTGGCTACCATTGGCATCACTGATCATGCTCAGGTATGGCATGTCCTAATTAACCTCGATCAATGATAATATGACATTCTAGTTCATCTATGCAAAACCCCAACAGAATCTTTGTAACTAAAATGCAATGCAGGAATCTTGACATGCTTTCCTTTATTGTGGATGGAAATCATGGCAAATGGCTGCTGTCACTTCTTCTTGCATGCTTGACTGCTATTTCATGTCCTCCTTGGGGAGAGAGAAAGATAGAGTTTCTGTATGGTGTGTTCATGGTGTTTATTGGGCAGGGCCATCTCGGGGAGGTGGTGTTTGTGGAGCTGCCAGAATCTGGAGTAGCAGTTGCAAAAGGAGGCAGCTTTGGAGCAGTGGAGAGTGTCAAAGCAACAAGTGATGTCAACTCCCCTGTTTCTGGTGAAGTCATTGAAGTCAACGCCAAGCTAACTGAGACTCCTGGTCTGGTAGTTCCTCCAACTTGGCCTGCCTCTCTTCATTCATATATCCTTTTACTGGGCTGAATCATATTGGACCAATGCAGCTTAGCTCACTGATGCATTTTGGCCTTCTTCTCTAGATCAACACAAGCCCATATGAAGATGGATGGATGATCAAGGTCAAACCCAGTGATCCATCTGAACTCAACTCATTAATGGGCTCCAAGGAGTACACCAAGTGTTGTGAGGAAGAAGATGCTCACTAGAGCATGAAAATTAACTGATCCTGTGAAGGACCATAAACCTTCATGTTACTCTTTGGAGACTAGCTCTACTCTCTTCTATCTTGTTCTTGTTTCTGTTGTTGTCATTCCTGCTCTTCTTGCTGCTGTTTGGAAGATTCTGATGGGTGTCTGATTTCTCATGGCAAGACTATCTTTTAATGATGGACAAAAAAAAAAAAAGAGAGACTCTTTTAGCTTCTTAAATTTGAGAATTTGTGGTGTCTGAGCATATCATAAACTGCAGATTTATTAGTAATATTTGGGTTTGGCATCTGCAGAAACCTCTTTCTGGAAGCAAGCAAAATATTCCACCATTTTGATCTATTTTATGGCTGAAGAGATCTTGTAGTTTTGGCATTTGCCATAACTCTGAACTGAAGTAGAACTCAACCATAATCATGCACTTATAATTTCATTTTCACCCTAAAAGAGGTGCACAATCCTCAAATTATCTGAGAGGATCAGATCATGATTACTTAGATCAATTTTGCAGTATCTGGATTTGCATGTCATTGAGCACCTCTCTAAGTATCCCACATCTCAAAGATGATCTCAATCTTGAAGAAGATGTATCCAATTTCAGAACACAATTGAAGGCTCAAATCTGAATCAGTATATTCCAACACTTTATGCTCTAATCTTCTGAAGATGTTAAAGAAGTTCATGTTTCATTCGAAATCGAAAAAGAAAAAAAAACAATAGGGATTGAACCCATTACTTGGGATTCTTGACCTAATGATAGTTCAAGTGATCTTCAACTCTTGGCATGAATCAAACTCCTATTTGATGAATTCTATATTCACATTTCAACTCAACAGATTCAGCTTTATGATATAAAAGAAGATCCAAAATATGAGTATAACATGCAGAAACCATGATCCAAACTGGTCCTAAGCTTCCCATCATTCAAAGACAAAGAAGTCCTCCTAATGGACACATCCCTATTCAGCTTGACTTCCTTCCCACTGCAGGCACTCATCACATCTTCTCTCATCTTTGCTCGGCTATCTGCCACACCAGTCAATTAGGCATCAAGATATCATTGCAGTTGCTAATCATGCAGCCAATCGGTCATCGTTTCAGTTCATCATCATACAGCGAGCTGCAGGCCAAGTCAATTGGATTGTCCATCAAGGTAACACCTCAATTATTGGCCATGTGTGCACAAGTAAAAGCTACCACAGTGGCAATAGCACATCCCTTCTGACGAAGGCACCCTTCTTGGAGCTGGTACGCCAACGCCACGGACGGCCAAGAAAAGCACACCAAGGATGAGAGGTGTGGCGGAAGGCTTCCACTGTTGTGCACGCTTAGCCAAGACATTGTGGAGCATTAAACGCAGTGCGTAGTATTCACTGCAGCAATCATGCAATAGGTACCGTAATTAAGACAAACACCTTGTCGATGGGGTTTGCCGCTCCGAAGAAGGAGAGTAGCAGCCTTAATGGAAGGGAGGAAACGCGGACGGAAACAGCGCCCAGTTCCCAGCGGCATGATTTAGCTGACAACAAAAGGAATTTAAACGTGAGGAGCAAGTCTAGATGAAGACGACAGATGACTCCCAGGGATGAGGTCATGACCGAGAACCAGAAGCTTGGCCTACCAATTGCGCTCATTCAACAAACACTTGGTGGACGAGACCGATCTCGATCTATTCAGTGTCCTCGAAGACATTGCATGGCCAGATCGATGTGTAAATCGCGTGGTGACACTGACACCTGACGTCGACTGCGCCGATCCAAGCTGGAGGCGTGGAAATTCACGGCCATGCAGTTTCAGATAAGGCTGAGATCGACGAAGAAGTCACGGGGTCGAGCTCGTCAGCATCAGCTCTGGCTTCTCAGACATGTCATCACACGGTCAGCTACAGGAGGCGGGCAGACAGCAGCAAAAGATGGTGGAGATGACAATGGCTGTCGGCGGCAGCCGTCACACACCTCTCACTTGTGCACACGGCGACGGAAGAGAGCGGTCGCATCCGAAGGCTCTCCCAAAGAGTCAAAAGGTCTGCGTGTTCCTACTACTTGTTGTTGTTTCTTAGCCTCTGTGCTAATGAAGCCACAAATCATAGTTGTGGGTTATGTGAGAGAGATGTTGACCATAATCTTTCCATATAAAGACCATCTGACATTTCCTGATTTTAACTTTGTATGTCCCATAAAAGAGGTTGTATTTTCCTAATTATTTATTTTATTATTTTCACCCTACAAAAATTATGAGTTTGAATCACCTTTTTATTTCACATAATATTTATATTATATATATATATATATATTTTATTATTTGGGTTTATAATTAAATACTTGAGTCTAAATCGATGTTACGATATAAATAAATATATATATATTATGTACTCTTTTTTCGATAAATTAAAACTTTTAGGATAATCGATCGCCTAATCGAGTCATTTGTCATATTTTAAGCATGTTTTAGTCATTATTATAAATATGAATATGTTAATATGAGGTAGTGAAAACTACATGTGCATGAAAATTTTGGCTTGGATCGAACAATACAACTCTTCAATCATCGATGTTAACATTTGAACCTCTTTCAAAGAATAATAACATCTAATTCGTCATAATTTAAATCATTGTTCACGTTGAAAGAAAATTATGCATCAAACTTGGCAATCGACTGCGGTTTGGATCATCGTTCACGTCGGGAAGCTTTCATCCATGGAGGACGAACCTTGGAGCTCCTCCCATCCTTCCCGGAGAAAGTGTCTCTGCAACTTGCGAACGTGACCTCGGTCGACAGCGATGGATCATGGCGAAAGAGATATCGCCATGTTAGAAGTCGCCAGTGTGTGTCACACTCGAGGCAATGGTGCCATTCCCAGCTCTGCAAGCAAAAGCTCGATCCGGTGACAGCGACGTGCCCCCGTGTGACGCGCGCCATTACAAAGATCAATACTTTGTTAGGCAAAGTCGCAGCAAATCCGGAGAGACACTGGTCTGAGAACCCCTGCAACCTTCGGATTCAAGTAATGGGACGACAGGACCGGTGGATTGAGCACAGAGTGGGGCGACAATTGGTCGAACAGGTAGTGGCATGCACGACGCAAGCCGATGGCGTAACGAAAACGAAGACCTCGGTGATCAATGATGAGCCGAGGAGAGATGACGGTGAGCTCAGTTCGTAGTTCATCGTATGGGGACATGGATGGCCCGTGGAAAGTCTTTGTCGATCCAACAACGAGGTAGAGAGGAGCATCTCGAAGAAGACCGTGGAAAAGGGTCGAATGGTGGTCTACAGCACGGTGATGGTGACGCTGCGCGTGCTAGTTGGACTCCGAGCTGTAAGTGTGGAAATCCTGGTAAGATCCCAACGAAGCTCGGAGGAAGCATGATCTCATTGTGCGCTTATAGATAAGATGTGATGCGTAGTGCGGCATGTCACCAAAGGCTGCCGCTGATAAGTCAAACCATCGAGCTCCATACGAGCTACCGCTTCTCACACACCTCCAGTGGACGAGAACGAAAGAGACGATGGATCCAGTTCAGCAGCTACGAAGTGGAAGATCGACATGACCGAGAGCTTGGACCTTCGTCGTCGCGGAAAAGCCAGACAAGAGCGTACCTTTCGATTCAGAGCGCTGTAAAGCGAAGTCGAAATAACTGCAGAGAGACTCTTCCTGGTTCATGAATCCGAAAGAGAAAGGAAAGACGAATCACCTTCACATCGCTTTTGTCTTCTTCTGTTTGCTTCCTCGCGGACGAATTGGCAGTTCCTCTCCATGGAATTTTCTCGTCTTCAAGAAGCCAAATCCTATGTGAGTTCCTGCGATGTGGTGTTGATCCAAGAAATGTCTGCAACATATGCGAGGCTGCTACCCATACTTGATTTGACATTCTTTCAGGTTGAAGAAACATGGAAATAGGAAAGAAAAATCCAAGTCTCAGAAGAGATCCTCGCAGCTTTGATATCTTGCGAATCGAGAAGATGTAAACATCATTCGTTCTAATTGCCTAAGCGCAAACCGATGACTCGTGGTGTGGGAATAGCTCCGGAGGAGAAACTTCCTCGTCAATAATTTAGATGACTGGCTGGCCGCTATCAAACTCTGCATCATGCGCAGCATTAATGGCACAAAGACATTCTTACTCGTCCTTCTTCCGGCTGTCGCAGGGTGACTTCCTTAGCTTTCACATACTTGGACTGTCTCGAGAGCACAAACAATGGTGACCGAGAAAGAACTATTGGGACTGTGGCTTAGCACGTTTCGAGCACCATGATGCTGCACGAAGTTAGGTTGTCAAGACAAGAACAAGTGCACGAGATCAAGTTGCAGACAACTGCAGTGGAATCATGACGGCACCATAGCCCTTTGCTTCTCTTCGAAAGTCAAAGAATGACCAGACTTTCCCATGGTGGTTAAATATCTTAATCTCATTGACAGAGACTAAAGCAAAAGCTATGGAGGTGCAAAGTTAAACTAGGCTACAAAATCTCTGCGATGCCAAACCACTATGTTGGTAGCCTATAAAGATGTGATTTGAGAGACCTCACCTCTTCTTCTCCGAGTCGACGATTCATGCCAAAACCAATGTGAAGTCTTGGCCTGCTAGCTAAGATTTTGGAAATGGTGGTAACAGATCTATCATCATGTCATGGAAAACGTTCCTGAAAAATGGTATGAGAAGGGCTCCACATCTCACTGTAGAACATGATTTGTATGAATCATGCTGAAGGTTGACCTTTATTTTCTCATGTTTCAGGCAATCCAGAGAACCATATGTGGTTTTTCAGACCGACAAGGTTGCACAGAGAAGACAACCCACCAAGAGAAATCAACATGCAAAAACCACCTACTTCTGAGCAACTAAGAATTCCTTTGATCAAGACCAAACATTAGAAACCAAGTTCTTACACACTGCAAATGCTTACACAGAGAGTGCCAATTTCTCAGTTTGAGACTATTCTTGTTCTTCCGTGGAGACACCGATAACCATAAAGTAATCGAATCTTCGAATCTGTTCACACAAATAGACAAAAGAATTAGACTCAAGCCAATGTGTTTCGGCTCTACGATCGATACGCTGCTTATAAACACAAGTTCTTAGACATATAAGTTGCCAAGGTTTTCAAGGAACTCACTATGCTGATTTCACATGCACAAAGAAGAAATGATTAATGGACACCAAACACAAAATACCTTTTTTTCTTCAGTATCGGATGCGGCTAAAACTCTTGCTATTCTAGTTAACTTGGAAAGCATCCTTTTTTTTCGATGTCTGCTAAGAACTTGGAAGATGATTACCCTTCTCATGTAAATGTATCTGTCTTCTTTCTGTAGCTAAGCAAGTATCAAAATCCAAGTGGATCACCTCTGTTTCCCTACCAACTTTAAGGCTTGTCATTTTCGGCTTCTTTTTGGCTTTGATTTGGCCATGTGGGCAAATCGCATCACATCATCCTCCTGAATTTCCAATCTCAACCATTGATGCATGTCCCTGACCTCTATAAATTCCCATTCCCCCTCACTGCAATTTCTTCATTCAAGGCTCTCCTCTCTTCTCTCTTTCTTACATTCCACTCTTGTGCTCCTCTTATCGCTGTAATCTCCCTACTGTGGTGCAGCAATGGCCAGCTCCGAGAGATCGAAAATGGTCTGCACCTCTTCCACCTGCTTGCCAACCTCTTCACCTTCCTGTGACAATAGACAGGACAAATTGGCATGGTCAGACTAACAAAGTTGAGGTGCTACTGCAGGAAAAAGAGGAGAGAGCAATAGAAGTCGGCGCGGTGAAGAGCAGAAGTGATTCCTTGAATAAGGACGTAAACGGAGAGAAGGATGAGCGATATGAATACACACTTGATGGATCAGTGGACGCAAGGGGCAGGCCTGCAGCCAAAGGCAAGACAGGAGGGTGGGTGGCTGGAGCACTTCTGCTAGGTAATCTATCTTTTCTCATGCTAAAATAATCTTCTGAATACAAGGTGATGACGAACTGTTGAAAATTCGTTGCAATCATGAGCTGACATCCTTCGTCTCCTTCTAGCCATTTTAAATGAGAGATGACGAAGTAAGCTCTGCTAGTTTGGTGCTCTTCCAACTTTGGTTCCACTCACACAAACAAATAAGATATATTCCAAAGAAACAAAAGCATCAGTTTTATTGGATTGGATCTCCATATCCAGGAGGTTGAAAGCATGAAAAGGATCAATATTTACTCTCTGAAGGAAAAGATCTATATCTTTCTCTTGTTTCAGAACAAGAAATTGTTTAGTGACACCTGAATAACACACAAAGAAAAGATCTATATCTTTCTCTTGTTTCAGAACAAGAAATTGTTTGGTGACACCTGAATAGCACACAAAGAAAAGATGTATATCTTTCTCTTGTTCCAGAATAAGAAATTGTTTGGTGACACCTGAATAGCACACAAAGAAAAGATCTATATCTTTCTCTTGTTCCAGAACAAGAAATTGTTTGGTGACACCTGAATAGCACACAAAGAAAAGATATAATCTTTCTCTTGTTTCAGAACAAGAAATTGTTTAGTGACACCTGAATAGCACACAAAGATATATCAGACCACCATAAAACAACTTTAGAATGTATTCATGATCCTTTAGAAGCTATAACCAGACAACATAGTTTGATTAAAGCTGTGACAATCACCAGTGATGGATCTGTTTTATTCTGATGCCTGTTATTTTGCTGGAAGTTAACAATTCCCTGAAGTTTTTCTTCTGATTGCTAACTTTGGATCTCACTGAAGCTAAACATCAACTGGTCACTGATTAGGTCTAAGTCATCTTGATTACCAAGACGATAACTGGCTCGGTTAGAATTCTGAGTGTAAACATATAAGTTCATCTAATCAATTATTAACTTCAGGACCACAGATGTGCATATGCTTCCTAGAGAAACAATAGATGTATTCTTGTCATCCTTCCTTGAGAAAAAGAGGAAATCGATGATGGATCTTTTGATGCCATCAGCGCAAGTAATATCCAGTAACGATCACTGATAGAGATGCATGTTCTAAAGTGGGTCTCTGTGGTAGTAGAGGAACAATCTTACCAGGATATGATGCTGGCCAGATGATCTTTATAGGTAACTCCTTCACCAACTTCTTCACCAAACAGAAGTTAGACTTTTCCTGTAGACTTGCGTCTGGTAGATTCTTTGCTAGGCCTCCTGAGCTTGAGTTCCACTTGTCAATGAACTCGGCAAACAGGGAAGCATCAACATCACAGGGTCCTTGTCATTGTGCCACAGTCTGCAATCACAGCTGTGAATTCTTGAACCAGAAAAGACTGCCTTCTTTCTTTTAGATTCAAGAAAGACACATGACTCTGATGGTAAGCATATTTGGATTGTGCTCTTATGATCTAGAAAGAAAAATAATCAAGATCAACATCAATATACTTGGAAGAAACCTCTCAAACCAATGCCAAGGTGGCTAATCGTGACACAAACTTTATGCTCTAAACATCATCGATATATGTTTGAATGACCATTCACATACCGTGATCATAATAATGGTGATGTTGATGCAGTGAACCAGGGATTGGCGACGCTGGCGTTCTTCGGGGTGGGGGTGAACTTGGTGTTGTTCCTAACAAGAGTCCTGCAGCAGAACAACGCGGATGCAGCTAACAATGTCAGCAAATGGACGGGCACTGTCTACATCTTCTCCCTTGTGGGCGCCTTCCTCAGCGACTCCTACTGGGGAAGATACAAGACCTGTGCCATCTTCCAAGTCATCTTCGTAATTGTGAGTCTGCATGCTTTCTCCTACTCCAAGAACAATCACCGTGAGCAGCAGGCAGAAACTTACGGATTGGTTTTGGATGACAGGGGTTGGGGTTGCTGTCACTGTCGACTTACTTGTTTCTTCTGAAACCCTCAGGGTGTGGCCAAGAGCACCTCCTGTGTGGGCCGCACTCGAGCATGGAGCTCGGAGTGTTCTACCTTTCGGTGTATCTCATCGCCCTGGGGAACGGAGGGTACCAGCCCAACATAGCCACCTTCGGGGCAGACCAGTTCGATGAGGAGGACCGCAGCGAGGCACACTCCAAGGTCTCCTTCTTCAGCTACTTCTACTTGGCCCTCAACCTGGGCTCCCTCTTCTCCAACACCTTCTTGGGCTACTTCGAGGACAAGGGCATGTGGGCTCTAGGCTTCTGGGCCTCTGCCGGCTCCGCCCTGGTCGCCCTCGTCCTCTTCCTCTGCGGGACGCCTCGCTACAGGCACTTCAGACCCGTCGGCAACCCCCTCTCCCGGGTGTGCCAGGTCGTCATCGCCGCGTCCAGGAAATGGAGGCTCCATATCCCCCTCGGAGGCTATGATCTGTACGAGGTGGAAGCCAAGGAGGTCTCCGCTGTTGCTGGCAGTAGAAAGATACTCCACACCCATGGCTTCAAGTATGTTTCGTCTCCCTTGTCTTGCGTGCATGGCATGCGCACCGGCTTCCATCTTCGTTGATCTAACTCGAGGTGATCTGCCGTCGTAGGTTCTTGGACCGAGCTGCGATCGTGGATCCGGGCAATGACTTCGTGATCCGAGAAGACATGTCGAGCGCTCGTGATCCGTGGCGCCTCTGCCCCATCACGCAGGTGGAGGAGCTGAAATGCGTGCTGCGGCTCCTCCCCATATGGCTCACCACCATCATCTACTCCGTCGTCTTCACGCAGATGGCCTCCCTGTTCGTGGAGCAAGGCGCGGCCATGAACACCACCGTCGCCGGGTTCCGCATCCCCCCCGCGAGCATGTCAGCCTTCGACATCGTCAGCGTCGCGCTCTTCATCTTCTTCTACCGCAGGCTCCTCAGCCCGTTGGTCTCGAGGCTGCGCAGGAACCCACGAGGGCTGACGGAGTTGCAGAGAATGGGGGTTGGCCTGGTCATAGCCGTCCTGGCGATGATCTCCGCCGGGACGGTGGAGGTCTACCGGCTGAAGCACGTCTGCAGCGGCTGCGACGACGACAGCTCGCTGAGCATTCTGTGGCAGATCCCCCAGTACATGCTGATCGGGGCCTCGGAGGTGTTCATGTACGTGGGTCAGCTGGAGTTCTTCAACAGCCAGGCGCCGGACGGGCTGAAGAGCTTCGGCAGCGCGCTCTGCATGACCTCCATCTCCTTCGGCAACTACGTCAGCAGTCTTCTGGTGACCATCGTGATGGAGATCACGGCGAGGGGCGAGCGCCCCGGGTGGATTCCGGTCAACCTCAACAAGGGCCACATGGACAGGTTCTACTTCCTCCTGGCGAGCCTCACCGCCGCAGACCTCGTCGCCTTCGTGGCCTGTGCAAGATGGTACAAGTGCATCAAGTTAGAGGGAAGACACGATGATGATGACAAAGAGAACTCCAACGTCTAATGAACTACGGACACAGTGCGGTGTAAGGCTGGTATGGATTAGATGGCAGTCATTTCATCCATCACTTATTCTTTCATTGATGCAAGACATTGGAGCATGTCAATGGAGATGGATGGATCTGTCAGGGAGGCGAGGAGGAAGAAGATGATCCTAGCGAATGCGATTCCCTAACTTTTGTCTTATGACGCAATAGTGCAAGCATTGTAAATGCTAATATTATCAGCATTATAATAATACATCTACCAAATACGTGATGCACGGATGCAATACGAAATAGCGGCACCACCCTTTGATAACCGCGTGATGCTTACCACCCTCAGCTACGTCAGAAGCAGCAGGCGGGGCCCGCTGAGAGAGGCGGGTATGGTTTGGTACATTGGATAAGGAGGCCGAAGGGGCCCATCTTTTCGGATCCAGATCCGAGACCTGTTTCCCGTTAAGTGGCTCGACGACCCGCCTTCCTCCTCCGAGGATGATGCCATCGGCTCCCTCGCGAAGGAGGGCGGGAAACCCTAAAGGAGCTCGCTTTGATCGGGTCGGAGATGGCTTCACGCTTCGTTCTGCAATCTTTTATGGTTAGTGCTTCGAGATTTCGTTCGAGACTCGGTTCCTTTTATCGATGTCGTTCTTTGGTGACAGTTTTTTCTCCTCCGGATGCTGTTTGTTTTCGCACGAGATTTCAACTCGGTGAGGTTCTTCGGGAAACGATGGCGACCAAGAATCGTCTTTTTGTTCTTGCTTTCTTGGTTTGATCGACACTGTCCACGATAGGCACAAGATTGATTGAGACCGATTGCTCAGATAATCACATTCCCCTGCTTGCACAGCCTCCTTTTCTCCCATCTGTTCTCTCAGTCTGGAACTTTCTTGTAGTTGTTCCATGAAATTTATTGCAGCCTTTCTGGTCTCGTTAAATTATTTAGTCAGAATCATACACAGCTTGCAGATCATAAATAAATTTGTATAATTGAGAGGATTGAGGATTAAACAGAACAAGAAGTCCATCCGTCTAAAGAGATGGTTGGTAATAAGAATCAGTTTACTCTGATACAACTTGAGGTTAAGTCCTTGATAAATTTGGCTACATTAAAAATGAAAAGGTAAATTGGAATGTCTAAAGATAAATTGGAATGCAAGCAAACCAGACAAGATCAGGAAAACAAAAGATTACAACAGGATCAGGTGAGCCATAGGCTTGTTCTTCAGTTCTTCACCTCGAGTTTTGATACAATTTTATGCTAGATTATTGAAACACACATGACACCATCAGGAAATGGGGATGTAGCATTGCTGAAATAAAGATTTCAGGAAGATCACTGAGGCCTCAATCAATCAGTAATTCAATTTACTGAAGTACAACTTGAGTAGGAGTGTCATCTTATCAGAGAGAGAAGAGTGAATAGGACTCCGAGAGAACATTTGCAATCCTGGATAGGAGAAACTAGAACATCTACCACTTCTAGGTTTTGCAGTTGTTAACCAAAACTAGGTTTTGCAACATGTTGAAGGCTCATACAAAATAACATTGTTGATCAGTTCAGTAATAAGACCATAGTAGACAAGTTGATCATGAGAACTTGACTATACCAGCCTGCTGGAATCCAAAGATGCAGGAAAGACCATATTGCCTGATAGATAAGATATATAAACTGCAGAGATTCAAATGCCCATTCAAGATCTTCTTAGGTCCTCCTATAACCAGCAGTTCAATTCAATCAACTTGGATCCTTCAATACACTTCTCTATCATTTTTTAGATTAAATACAGAGATTCTAGTTGTTACTATTTGGATGGTCTAAACATTTTCATGATTCAAGCTACAATTTCCCCATGCATAGGTTGCACCTTTCACCAAAACATAGTTGACTCAAACCAGAGTTTGAAACCCTTCAATTCTCAAATACAAACTAGTTCAAGAAACCAGCCACCTGCAAAATTCTGTGTGAGATATCAAAGAACCATGTATCCATCTTATCACCTCATCATTTGTAGTTAGTGTTGCAAGTATTTGAAGCTGCAACAGCAGTATAATGGAAACAATCCTCATGCAGAGAACTCAATCATATTGATCATTGTCTGCTGTGGTAAAAACAAAAGAAGATATTAGTGATGAAAGTGAACATACCCAACCAACACCTCCAAGAATTGCTCTATACTTCAGTAGATTTGGAGCTCCGAAAGCTTTTCTTTAGCTCTGCAACCCTCTTCATGCAAGAGGCCTTCGACCTCCCCGGCACCGCTGCAGCTATCTTCTCCCACCTCATCGCGGCATCCTTGGGGAATGCCTTGAGCGCATTGAGGAGCGCAATATCCTCCCCTGAGCTCCAATTTCCGTTCCCTTCGCCATTGTCCTTCTTGGGATCACCATGCTCCATCAAACTCCCATCTTGCGGCTGCGACTCTACCTCGACGGCTGCCACTCGTTTATCCACCGGTTTCCTCTGTTTCAAGAACTGCTGATATGGATCCCCAGCTGCGGGCCTCCTCTCCGACAACGATTTTGCGGTGTCTATCACGCTATCCAACCCATGCCGCCCTTGGAAAGCTTCAGCGATCCTCTCCCACCGTCTCGGCTCACCAACCGGATGCTTCGAGACCTGCTTCTTGAGAAGCTCCAAGTCCTCGTCCGTCCACTCCTTCTCTTCTTCCTGTTCTTTCCCCTTGTTGTCGTTCGTTGATCCACCGCCATTGACAAAGATCAGATCTTTATTCCTCTCCGCGGCTGCGGGTTTAGAGATGGTGGCAACCGGCGGAGGAGGCCCGTCGAGCTTCTGGGATCTGGTACGGCGGCCTTGGACCCGCCTCTTAGGTTCGTCGAGATCCGAGAAAGAAGGGGCGGGCTCGGGGTCGGGGACGGGGTCGCCGTGGCCGACCCGTGCGTCGCCACCCGTCGCGGAGAGGGGGGCGAAGGGGCCGAGGGCAAGGGAGAGGGCGGCCCAGAGGAGGAGGGACGAGAGGATTTGAGAGCCAGATAGAGAGAGGTAGGCGAGGAGGAGGAGCGCAGCGGCAGCCGAGAGGCAAGCGGCGGCGTGGAACTTGCTGACCTTTCGGGTTTCGGCGGGCGCAGCGGCTGAGGAGGCGCCGGAGGAGGAGGAGGAGGAGAAGAGGAACCGTGGCCGCGCCTCTTCTTCGATGTAGTCCATGATGCGGTGTAGTCTGCCTCCGTTAGGTTTTGCCCGTTCATGATAACGGACATCCGAGCGCAGGTGGCAATGCACGTGCTTTGGACGTGACAGTCGATAGAAATTGGGCATAGCAATTTTCCAGCGCATGGATATAATGTGCATTTGAACACCCCTGAGAATGTCGGGGGTGAAGTGGCATCTCCGATCGATGTGCACATGAACTCTTTCTTTTAAACCTACAAACGGCCATATCACCATGATAATTTTCAGGGGTGATTCGTGCTGCTGGCACTTCTCACATTTGGCTCGTAAGACAAACTTGGCGCTCATCGGTCCGCCGCTCAAGGTGCGCCACGTGGACTCGGGTGTCCGTCTTCCTCACTTCTTGGGGCAATATGGAGTCCGGGGAGTTGGGGTTTTCGCCTCACCTCTCTCGTTGCGAATCCTGCAGCAGTATCGGGAACTCCTCTTGGATTGTCCGGCGGAGGTGCGCCACCGACGCGCGAAGTTCTCAATAATAAGATCTTTCTTGATGAAAAATCTTCCTACTCCCAGAAGGAAAAAATGGGTAATATTTGTTTGACATTTGGATAACCAGATCAGCAATCAACGAGATCGGAGGATATGGAGAACGACAGCTATAGCATTTTGCGCTTCATGTTCCCGATTATCGTTTGCCATCGTGATCGATAAGGTATATTTTGGGTCCTGACCACATCATAATCATCGCCACGCCACGCCACCGCTAGATCAGCAAGAGGAGCACTCCCACGCGCCGAGCTAGAATCCATATCAAAACGTTCCTTGATACGTCCCGTCCCAGAAAGCTCAGGACGGCGCCGTATAGTGTCGTTCCGCTCGTCCCGAGACGGCAACCGTACAAAGGTACCATCTCACCCCTCGAGGATCGGTCGCCACGCCAAACCCGCGTACGATCGACCCTCGCACAGTAGTCTAAAAACCCCTGGCTGGCATCCGGCCAAAGGAAAAAGAGAGAAAAAGAGAGACAAAAAACCAACCAAGCACTGACTTACTCGTTGAGGGGCCAAAGTTGGTAACCACCCGACGATGCCCTTTTGTGCAGGAGAGCGGCCACCCCCCGAGCCGTGACCATCCTGATCGAGAGTCACCAACCAGCATCCCGACCGAGAGAGGCCAATCAACATTCCGGTGCTAGCATCCCATCATGCGAGCGTGATCGACCTTGGCAACCAGCTCAACCGACCGAAGATTCCCGACATCGACCCACGGATCAAGCCATGCTGACTCACCAACCACGACACATCAATTCATCAATATTTTTAGCGCTAGAATGAGGGTCATGTCATAGGAGCACCCCACAGGAGTTCCCCCCAAGGGAGAACCACCGGCCGACCACCCCCCTTCCGGACTCGGGGATCCGCCCCTCCCCGTCCTCAAAGACGGGGGGATCCCGGCCTCGACACCGGATCGCTACTGGCGCCTGTTTAATGATCCGGGGCTCTCTCCCCACGGATATACCACAGGACCCTAGGTCGTTTCGCCCGAGGCGTTCCTCTTGGCCAAGCAAGTACAACCCTTGGCGGGAATGATACAGACGATCGTCTCGCTCATGCCACAGATTGTGCAACTAGCGGCTCCCCTAACCGACCCGATGCAACAAAGGACGAGCAGGGAGCAACTCGGGATGGGAAAAGCCCGAGAGCAGACAATAAACCCGAGAGGCCTACCCGAGCATAGCACACCCGCACTCTACCGGATCGCTCCGCCCACTCCGAGCCTGATACCATATCGTCCGACTCAGCGGATGACTCATTCAGGATCCAACTGTCCATGGTCAACCGACGCCTGGATGAGTTCCAGCATGAATTCCAAAAGTCGCGGGGTGAGACGGGCGAAGGCCACTCGGGTGGATCCCCCTTTACTCAGAAAATACAGGACAAGCCTGTACCACTCAACTTCAGTCTACCGGCATTGGAAACGTACGACAATGGCTCCGACCCCACAGAGCATGTCACCGCGTTTCGGACTTAGATGGCCCTTTACGGCATCTCTGATGCCCTGATGTGTCGGGCATTCCCGACCACCTTCAGAGGACCGACACGAGCATGGTTCAATCGACTACGCTCGTTCTCGGTCTCATCCTTTGATCAACTCGCAAGGGAGTTCAAGCAAAACTTCCTGGCCAACGTGCAACCCAAGCCTTCCATCGCCACCCTGCTCGCGTTATCCTAACGCAAGGACGAATCGCTCTCCTAATTCATGGCACGCTTTGCCGCTAAAATCCAAGGATTCTCGGACGCTCACCCTTCTTTGATCATGCAGGCATTTCTGATGGGCTTGAGGCCCTCGTGGTTCTTTTGGTTGTTGATTGAGAAGCCGCCCACGACCATCCCCGAGATGCTACAATGTGCCAACCAGTACATCGTCGCCGAAGCCCTAATGGTAGGGAGGCGTGAGGACAACAAGAGGCCGAGGATGGAGTAGGCCCGAGAAGCGGCTTCGGCGCCACCATCGCAACCTCGCAGGAGGCCCGATCGGCTCGACCTATTACTCCCGAGCCCCCGCCCCCGCCTCTGCCTCTGAATATATCCCATACCGAGATCTTTCTCCATATCAGGGAGAAAGGTCTCTTACGCCAACCCAATCCCCAGAAGGCCACTCACAAGGACCGGTCTAAATATTACAGGTTCCATCAGGACTACGACCATGACACGGAAGATTGCCACAACCTCCAAAATCAAATCGAGGAACTAATCCGAAGAGGTCATCTCGGGCGCTACCTCAAGGAACCAGGAGAAGCAACTCCGCGCCCCAGGGGACCTGTCGAGAAGCAAATCGACGTCATTACCGGAGGACCGGCAGCTGATGGCAGCAGCTCAATAGTAAGGAAGGCTTACACCCAAAGCACGGTAGAAAAACGCCCCAGACCTGAGTTTGAGCCCGAAATCACTTTCGGAACCAAGGAGGTTGAACGCTCCCATCACGACGACGCTTTGGTGATCCCCATCTGGATCGCCAACGCTTAGGTCAAAAGAGTAATGGTTGACACTGGGAGCTCTGCCGACATGCTGTACCTCGACGCCTTCAAGAAGCTCGGCTTGACCAATGAGGACCTTACTCTCATGAACTCGACGCTCACCAGATTCACTGGAGATTCCATCTCCGTGTTCGAGACCACCACACTCCCCGTTACCATCAGGGAAGAGCCGAGAGCCAAGACGGCAATGACTACCTTCATGGTAGTCGATCTACCCTCGGCCTACAATGTCACCCTGACGCGCCACCCAACGACTCACCAGTCCTAAACCTGAGCTCGAAATCAGTCACTCGGCCAACAGGTCCAATCTTTACCCGAGTCACACAACTCGGCCCCCGACTTGCAACTTGCCAGTCCTAAACCTGAGCCCGAGATCAGTCACTCAGCCAACAGGTGTAGTCTTTACCCGAGTCACGTAGCTCGGCCCCCGACTTGCGACTCGCCAATCTGAAACCTGAGCTCGAGATCAGTCACTCGGCCAACAGGTCCAGTCTTTACCCGAGTCGCACAACTCGGCCCCCGACTTGCAACTCGGCAGTTTTAAACCTGAGCCCGAGATTAGTCACTCGGCCAACAGGTCCGGTCTTTACCCAAGTCGCGCAGCTCAGCCCCCGACTTGCGACTTGCTAGTCCTAAACCTGAGCTCGAGATCAGTCACTCGGCCAACAGGTCCAATCTTTACTCGAGTCGTGCAGCTCGGCCCCCGACTTGCGACTCGTCAGTCTTAAACCTGAGCCCGAGTTCAATCACTCGGCTAACAGGTCCAGTCTTTACCCGAGTCGCGTAGCTCGATCCCCTG